AGTAGCTTCAGAGTATATCTATAACCCATCAGAACTGAGGATCTAGATGCAGATCAGCCTAATGCCGTATGTTTCCGAGTTTCCATTCCCATAGTAATTAAAGTCTTCAAGAGGGCTACACTTTCATAAATGCTATTCTTCTATCATACCATCAAACACTCATACTAAAAAATGAAATCACCCATGTTTTTGTAAAGAACCCGAACAATGTCAAAATGAGGTATGACCTAGATATTGTCCCTTAGTGTTTGAAATCAGTCTGTTTGGAAATACTCTCCGACAGCGGAAATCCCAGAAGGTGATGATGGAAAGGATGATAAGTGGAATTACGTACTTTGGAGGGGCATGAAAGAGGAGTGAGATGGTTTGAATCAAGTTCAAGTTTCAATCCAACAGAAAGCAGCTATTCTGGCTGTTGATACAAAACATATTGAAATCCAGATCTATAAGGTGTTATAAGGAGAGGAAGAGGAAATCTTCTTACGTGTGCAAGGACGCTTACTTAAGCTCTGCCCTCTTTCATAAAAATCACCTGCTGGCTCCAGTGAGCCGTCCTGGTCAAAAGGATTATTCATCCCCTTGGAATCACGGCATCGACAGTGGCAAACACTTAAAACTTCACAGGGGATACAGCAATGCGTGACTGCCCTATAAACTTTTCTGAGTTTAGTCTCATCTTTTAAATGGAAATCTTTTGCATTGTCCATCAGTCTGAGTACTCTTCTCTGAAGCTTTTTCATTTTATCTATAATTTGTTTAGAGATAAAAGTGATCATAATGGAAATATTCTAAAAGAAGACTTATGAAGCCACATTATGGCTGTTTTGCCACCTTCCAAAGTTTACTTTCATACTTCTGTCCCTGTCTGTGGCTCTCAAAGAACAGCTGGTAATAATGTTTAAATTACAGCTGATATGAACCTATCAACAGATATTTCTTATTTAAATTTGCATTTTTAATATTGCCTACAGCTGATTTTCTCCTCTCATCATCCTAGAAAATTATTACCTTTTCTTTTCTAATGGGTTTGTCTCCTTTTTTCTCTGTATTGACTAACTGGAATATTTGGACCTATACACATTTTCTGTATCACTGTTTACCTAGTTATTTTTCCTATGCATTCATGCGTGCATGCATTTTTGTGATTGATATTAGTATGTATTTGTAGAAACAGAAAGAGAGACAGAAAAATTACAAAACAGAAAGTAGCAAAATAGAAAACAAAGTTTTTCTTTTTTGGTCAGAAAGACAATCTATAAAATGCTAGTATTTGTACTGGTCTTCAGGACATCTGACTAACCCTACCTTTTAGTTGAGAAGTATGTAAGTCTCTCTCCCTATATTTTCTCATTAGTTCCTAACTCTGGAAAGTAGTTTACTTGTGATAACATTTTTTTATAACCATCAAAGAATGGCTATATTTTTCAGAGACACAGTTTTAACTTTAAGAAATTCTTTTGTCGGCTATTTTAACTAATTTACCTAATGCTGGTTTTATGTGCTTGTAATTCTTAGGCTTTCCCACAACTCCTCCAATCTCAAAGCTAACTATGCTATTACCTATACTCCTCACTCTTCTGGATTTTGGTAATAGGTATTATATGTGTATTTTGCAGCACCTCACACACTCCATTTTTACATTCATTTTTAACTTTTCTGGTTTTGATTTATCACTTCATTGTCTAAGACCTCCCAGGTACTAATGTGTCTTTATAACAACCTTGTTACAAAGAGAAGGATTATTTCATTCTGTGCTTTTGATGTGAGGCTATTTAGTTATTGACAGTTATTTAGTATCTGGAGGAACCAAACAGAAGTTTCTTGTGGTACCTTGAATTCTATGGTTCAAACTGCCTTGATGATGGAGGGATTCAGAACCTCTGTGTTGATCATATGTTTCAATTTGTCACACACCACCTCAGTTTAACACCTCATTTTTATTACATGTGAAGGACTGTTTGAGGATAGGACTTTCCCATTGCTGATTATTGAAGACTAATGCAAAGGGTTCTCTGGATTACCCTCATCCTCTGGTCTTCTAATGTTTTAACCTGCCCACTTCTTTTGAATTTTTTCCTACTGCTAGCAATGTCCAAGAAGTAGGTTTCTTTCTTAAGCTATATTTGAGAGAAGGAAATCAGGGTCACGGTTATGTTTGAGAACAACTTTGATTATGCAGTAGTTTTCTACAAAGATCAAAAGAAACCAAATCCTGCATCTTCATGTAACATTCATTACTTAGAACAAAAGAATAATTTCATAAGCTTGCAGCAGCTTATGAATGACCACTAGCAGAAGAAGTTCGGTTTTTTGCATGAAGTTATTAATTTCCAGCAAGGGGCTACCACAAGGGATGATAATTTTGTTCTTTTACATGGCCCCATGCATGGAAGGCGCTCTCTGCAAATTGATGAGTCTTCCAGGGGCCACCCCTCACAGGGGTTTGTTAGTAAGTAATGAATTTCTAAGACATGACAAATCAATACTTTGATGACTTTATTTTTACCTGCTGCTCATAGCCCACCTGTAGCACCTTTATTTTGTGTTCTGGAAAGCTTACTGTGCTAGGGTTTACACCTACATTTGATGTATTCATATGGCACATACCATGGGGAAAACATTAAAAGGAGCAACAGAATATTAGCATGCAAAAAAAATATTAGCGTGTGAATAATTAATATTTTGTTAATAACGCTTTACATGAACATTTGCCAAAGCCATGGAATTTTTAAATTGTTTACATGTGTAATGTGAAATTAACAGGAAATGGTAACACAGAGCTGCAGTGCTCTTCTGTGGAAGTAACTCATTATCTTACACTTAAAAGGCTGCAATGGTGTGAGATTGAAAAACAACAAAACTCAAAACTTTGCCTGAATGAAAATTATCCCACGTTTCTAAAAAGTGTTACCAAAAACTATATCCCCTTGCCACAGTCTGTTTAATTTCAACTGTGTGCCAATTTGCAAAAGTATTTTATAGTTTTCTGGTTACTTTCACCAGTAACCAAACACAGTCTTGACCCTTTTCCATACATGAAAACAGCCAACCATGAGTGCAGCAATGGGAGGTCTGGCCTTTCAGGTATGTCAGCTGAAGACCACCCTACTGGAAGAGGTAACAAGAACAAAAAGCCGAGGTCAAACAAGGCAGCCCCATGTAATTAGATACTAATAGTGGATTTAGGGTGTAAAATTCACTTAAAACCATGCACCAACAGACTAAACAATCCCAGTAAGAATGGCAAGTTTTGTTCTAAAAAAATGTTTTTAATACCAGAAAGCATAAATAAAACATACATAATAACCTTGACTGACAGACTGCACTAACCTGCAGTAACATCTGCTTCCAAATTATTTGCTATAGGTTTGGGATAGTATAATTATAAAACACTGAAACTCTACTGTAACTTACAGTACAGTGTGCATCCAATTTAATGATTTTATTGTTGAATTAACTTGTTGTCCCAAAAACAATTTTTAGCATTTAAATTCTGAGAAGAAAATAAATTCATCTCTTAAACAGTCAACAGCAAAACCAAAAATGCAAGCCTAACTGTATGTGATGCTAATGGGGAAACATGCTGAATAGGTGCTGAACAAATAGGCAGTTGCTTTTGCAGGGTATGAGGGAGTCAAAGTAATTAATATGACAATCTTCGTTTCTGTTGGCTGTTTTATTTTGTGTTAATTGCTAATGCTTTTGCAGGGTGGATGTGGTACCTTTACATGCCGCAGACTTGGTCTGATAGAGCAGCAAGATCCGTCATGAAGAAAATGGTATTTCTCCAGCTAAAGTGAGTATCTGCTAGTCAGCTTCTCTTATTGTTGCTGGGGCCCCTGGGTCACACTGGGGACTGGCTTTTTGCAGTCTTTCCAGATTCCCTAATATGCTCATAGCTCTAGCTGCTCTGCAAAGAACCCAAAAGTGATCAGATCCCAAGAAACTGCAGTTTAATAATTTTCATTTATCCTCATTTTACAAGTGGTAAATTAGTCTAAATAATTAAACCAATCATATTAATTCTGTGTCTTATAAATCATTTAAGTAGGATTTATAAGCCTTTTGGAAACAGTGCTTTCAGAACTGTTAAAGAATTTAGTGTATTTTTTGGCACGCAGTCCAAGGACAGAAGGTTTCCTTCCTTGGTGCTCCAAACCTCCCCAGGGAGACAGGTAAATGCAGGGGTATGGAAAGATGTTGAAAACCAGTAAGCAGTGACAATTCACACCCACTGAGGATTCAGTCGTCTGTATTCTTCTCTGTTGGTGGTATCTATCTGCTATACAACAGAAGAGATGTTTGGGAAAGACTGAACTTGTCCTGCAGAGATTATGGCAAAACTCAAATTGAGGAAGTGAGACTGGAACTGACTGGGGATGGCTTGTCTGCTAGCTAGTACTGTCAAATTATTTTCTGTAGTAGCTTTTCAGTATTCAGTAGGTATTGTCAGCCAATGCTAACCTTTTGAGCCAGCTCCCGTCATGCACTGTCCCAGTGCAGTGGCAGGTAAGGAAGCAGTAGCGCTGGGGAGAATTCCAGCATCTGCCTTCCACTGATGCTGCGTAACCTCTGTGGTACCTACAAGTCATTTGGCTTCAGCACTACCAGAGGCATCTTTTACCTGTACTGGTCCACAAGGTTCCACATTAAATATGTCTACGCTTCTGTGAAAGCATGCGAAGAATGTGAATCTAGGTGGGAAAGTGGGCAGCATTTAGCATAATGTCGAAGAGCGAAAATTGCCAGAAGTTAGTATTGGATACACCTCTGTTGTTCTGATGTTCACTTCCTATGAGACAGTGATTACTTTTAGTGAAGCTATTCTGCTTGCTGCTGATGGAACATTTGCTTTTAGGAAGTCCCCTGCACTGAGAATCTCCCTTCTGATTGAATGCTGGTATTGCATTAATTCAGCTACATGGAAAGAACTACATTTACCTGTTATTTTTTAACCTGTTGAAGGAAAAACTGATCTTAGTGAGAAATGCGACGCTCACCTTTTTGGGTCAATGATCTTGTAGAGTTTTCCGCTGTGAGGCTGTGTCATACTTTTACTGCTTGATAATATGTAAACCTCACCTGTTAAAGAAACCAATGCAATAAATTAATTTTCCTCTCCTCAGATGTCAAATACATGACTTTTGTGATCTAGCTGTATTTGCAAGATGAGATTAAAAGAACTTCAGAAGAAACACTCATCACTGAAATAGACAACAGAATCATTGCTATTTGAAAATTTAAATAAGCATTTTCCCCGAATTGATGCTAAAATGTGAAAGATACTTTATCATGAACATTTTTTGTTTCATATTGTATAGAATTGGTTAAAGAAAATAAAATTGGAGAGGAAAGGAGAAGAGGGGGATCAGTCTCCTCATGAAATATCTTTGCCCTAAGTCTGTAATATTAGGAATAAAAGCAAGTATATGACACATCGTGTCATAGTGAGTGACACAGTTCACAGAATGTGAGCGACAGTAAGGCCCTTTGCCCCCTCCAACAACCCATTCTCTTCTCAGTTCTTCTTACAAAGCTGCTACAGTATAGCTGAGAGCAGCGTAGGCAGCTTTGGCAAAGGAAAGATAGCCTTTAGATTTCTTCTTTTTAAACATTTACTATAATTTTGAATAGTTCAGTTTTTTATAAGGCTTATGATTTAATAACATTTTTTTTTTTCTATTTACCTAATTCGTCTTCACCAAATCCCAAGACAGGGCCTGAAAAGAAACCTCTACATGAACCAGAGTTGCCAAGACAGAGGGGTTTCTCTTGCCACTGTTTGGTTGCAGGATTCTGTTGCAGTGTTAAAAAATTTCTATATTCAAAAACACATAAAGCAAATTGTTATATTACATTTTGAATAGAGAGTTTTCATTGTCCAGATAAATAAGTAAACACTTTCTGCAAGTAGCTCCATAGATATATTTGTGCAGTTCATCATCTTATGATTTCCTGCCTGCTATTTTTCAGATAGCACAGATAGCACAAAAAGCACAGCATTTCCCTTCCTGTTATTCAAACATTGCAAAATTGGGTTCAAGCTATACTATATAGCCATTTGTGAATACTGAGCTATTTGGCATGGGAAAACTATGCCCGTTCATTAAAAAAACATTCATTTTGCTCTATCAGTGATGTTTCCATAAAACCCCCAAAGATTTCAATGTCTCAGCAGTTAGACCTGTTTGGGAAACAGTTCCACAATTAACATTTATTCCCATCATAATGTAAATGATGCATATAAGTGTTTGTAGAACTGAAAGTGCTGTGATGTGAGTGTCTTTGTCTGTACTTTTTTCCAAGGATCAGATATGTTACATATGTCACCGTTCATTAGAATGCTGTGCTATTTTATTTCCAAATCTAGAATTTATTCTGCATTGTCACACCGCTAAACTGGCAAAGTGACACAATATACAAGACTGTTGGTGTTCCTTTATACAGGAAGCTCAATAACTAAATATACCTTAATATGCATTTTTGTTTAGGAGTGAGTTATAAGAAACCTACCCATTGCGGTCTCCAAATACATAACTTCCATAGAGTCTTTCAGACTGGCAGCCTCGATAGACAAATCCACCAACCAAGGATCCACTGCTGAATGGTTTGAATTCTAAAAGTGAAGGCTCACTTTCTAAAAAGGAACTACCATAGCATTAGATCATATGCAGTTTCATATTTTGATTCACAGTTATGAAAATGTTATTACTTGAAGAAAAGCGGTTAATTCCATTTAAACATTCCTCAAAATTCAAGATGCGTTGCTGGAAATGAAACATTAAAAAAATCAGAAAATTACAACAAAGGCTGTTTGTGAAACAATCGGTTAGGGATTTGGATAGGAGAGGCTAGAATTGCTTTCCTCCATGTGCACAGGCTGGGAGAATAAAACTACATAGGGATGAGGTCGGACTTTCATTGAAGTTGATGTGATTACTGCTATTGACTTTTAAGTGTCAATACACTCTGCGGAATGGATCTCTTGAACTTCAGGAATACAATTAACCCCCCTTCACTGTAAAGTCCTTCCAGTGTCTAAAAGCAGAAATTCCAGTGATTTTCTGCAGAACTTGTTTTCAAAGCTATTCCATGGTTTGAGAAACTCTTTCAAAATCACAGTTTTAAACACAGTATGTGTGTTACGTCCCATAAAACACTAGTATTGCTGGCCGTAGCTTCTTGTGGTAATTTATTTTATGCTGCTGTTGTAGTTGCAGTTCCCACACATACTTTCTTCCTTTTTTACAAAACTGCCGAGTTTAGTCATATCAAGTAATGTCTTCAAGAAAGTTTCAGTGTAGATGTTCCTATTCATGCAATCAAACACTGCTTAGGGTAAAAGTAGGCTCAACTTGACATGCTAACTGCATCATTTTAAATTAAAGCCACAGCCCATAGACCTTTTTGTTTTATAGGAACTTTTTTTGTAGTTGGAGGGCTATCTGCAAGTCTTTGATAAATGAATTTCCCAGATTATTCGACAAGAGTAAAAGCTGAAATTTTATGTGGGAGAAAAGGATGATCAGCTCTTTTTATTGAAGCAGCTGACCCACAGCCTAGTATTCATACTGGCAAGCTGTTCTGGATAGACACAATATTGCTTAGTTTACTCTGCAATAAAGATGCAGTCAAAATTCCATTGGAGCAGTGGTTTACCGAATATTATTCTTTGGCTTGGCTTTTATAAAATGAACACAGAAAATACATGCAGTAACTGAAGTAGAACAATTGTATTACACCATTGTGTACCACCGTACTAGCCAGCACAGCTGCTTTGCTTTTAAGTAAAGTACAGGTGGGAGAACTAGGGATGTGAATAAAATCAGAAAATGCTGCATTCCAGGAGACAGACCAGTTCTTGATGCCTTTACACACCTTTGGCATTTATCACCTTTTACCACCATGAATTTACAAGCTGCTAAATGGTCAACGAAGGTAGATGATAGCTCAGAGCAACTGTCACCCGGCTTGCCTGAACTTGTAAGCGGTCTTAGTGACTATCAGAGTTAAACATTAAACTAAAATTGTGACCGACAATCATACTGATTCAGAGACCACATGAAACACTTCACAATTTTAAGTCCCTCATTGAGTACGTTTATCTTTTTGCAATCTAATCTAAACTAGTCATTTATTATGAAGTAGTAGGATAGCACATTTTTCTAAGTTTTTCATTTTTAGTAATGTTTAAACAGAGCTCAGTCATTTCCCTGTTTGGTTTGGTCTGTTGTTGTCTATCTCACTTTTTCCATTATAGGAGGCACATTACATGAGGTTTCCATTCTGTATCTTAAAAGGTTATTTGTGAACTGCTAAGAATATATTTTCATCACTTCCTGATATTCCAAAATCTTTTCTTTATGAGCCATCATATGCAGCAACAGTGAGATCTTTGACAGACTAGCAACTGGCATATTTCTTAATTCTTATTTACAAGATATTCTACACCAACAAGAACAAAGTTGAGTCATTTACATTTTGTTTTGTCTTGCATCTTTTATCTGTTTGTACCATACTTTTCATAAGTTCTATCTTTTGTAGGTTACCTATCATGGCTATACAGGCCTTTATCTATTTTTTTTCTGCTTTCTTTTTATTATTCCATGGGTACAGAAACCGACTGTTCCCAGTAGCTTTATCCTGGCTGGAACTTACCATAATCTTTACCCTTTATTATTTGTAAGATTCTTGCTGAAGATCTGTTCTTTCCATTTGAATCTGAGCAAAGTATAGTTAAATTGATGTTTACATCTGTTGGGTGGCGGTCCACAGCACATCTGTAGAACAAAATATATAAGAAAATCCATGAGATAGATGAGCTCATAATGTATAATTCTCTATCAATAGCATGAAGCATCGCATTTTGAAGGATTATTGTTCCTTTGTGGTGCCTACTCATTTGAGGGACCTATTTTATGCTGAGCCACAATATCTGAGAAGTGCGTCAGATTTGTATACAAGAGATAATATAACTTTCCCATCCCTGCACCATTTTTTATATAATGTGAGGTAAAACTTTTTTTTCCTACGATAAAATGTGCTCTGCTCAATAGCACCTGAAATGAATAGTGCTTTAACCAACCTAAGTGAGTTGACTTATATGGTATAGGAATTTTGGACTGTTAAAAAGTCCAAGAATCAACTCCTTATCTGAACAACTTGACTTTCTGAATTTTTTCAAGCCATGACTTTAAATGTCAGTTCAGTACTACCACCCACCTAATTTGCTGAATTATGTGTTGTTTAGTTAAAGCGTTGTTCTCCTCCTTGTTATTGTTTAGATATCACCAGATGTTCTCATTTGTTTTCCACGTGCCTTTTTTTCTCAGTCAAGATTCTACTGCTCTAATTTCTCAGATTCCCATCTCAGCTCTACTTTACCAACTCTCTGCTTTAAGTTCTCTTCTTTCATAAAGGTAATAATTTTATTATTCATTAAAACAAAAAATCTTGTACTTTGTTTCTGTCATTTCGGTCTTGACTTGTAATAGTTGTGCATTCTCTTCTCCTTCCCCTTTGCCAATGTCCGTTTGTTTCTAACTGTGACATATGTGTGGAGGTGGAGGAGAGGAAGTTTTAAAAAGTTCATGAGCGCCTTTATTGTTAAAATTTTGTTACCCAACCGTATAAAAGATTTCTGGTTGAAAACAGTATCTGCTCCAGAATAACTCAGTTTAATTGTAACTTACCGGCCTGGATTGTGGAGTCCGTGTGCAAAAATCTCAGGAGGTTGGTTTGTGCTATTAAAATGTGGGTTGCTCCGTGGTATGGAATAAGGGACATTGCACAGGTCAGTATTTACGTCGAGGCGCAATACAGAACCTGTAAAATCACTGAGAAAGTTGGAGGATAATTGGTTTTTTAAAAGTATTTTACTGGTAGATTCAATCCGCAGAATACAACAGTGAACTAGCAAAATAAACCACCCACATTACTGAATAATCACATCTAGATTGGTTTTATGGTACATGCAGGTCCAAAGAATAGTAGCAGAACCTATCAAAGATCCAGTCTGGCCAATGTGTTGCTTTGTTATGTGCATACTAGAATGCCTCTGACCATGCTGTTGGGAAGCAACTTGATAATAAGGGCAACTTCCCATACATCGACATTGTTTTATGACTTAAAACGTAAGGCTATTAACTCTTTTATACTGCATCTCCTCTGGAGTAACTATGGATATAATCACTATATAGTTACATAATGCCTTTTGCTAAGACTTTGAATTGTCCTCTTGAATTCAATGATTTCTAGTCACAGTACAATCCAAAGATTAATTATACATTAATTTTTAAAAAAAGTAATTGTATTGGTTGAATGGAGATGTTGGTATTTTTGGTAAAGAATCAGAACTTTCTTGTTACATGAAACAGGACAGAGTAAAATGTTTTGCCTTACATTCATGATTGTGATGGAGGAAGGGAGGAGGACAAGAATGTAGAAGAGCATCAAAACTCTTTTTACAAACATGAGTAGATGTGATATTTAAATTGATTCCTTTCTGTCTTTCTTCATCATGAATCTGTTTCAGTCTCCCCTTGTTTTACATTGATTGAAAATCAAATATTAGAATTGCTCTCTGGTCTTGGTTTTAAGTATATCCTCACTGCAAAGGGCAGGAGCACCTACTGTTCTGCTGAGCCTAAGAGGCCTTTGAGCATAGGAACTCATTTTAGGTCCGTAAAGGCTCAGTCCACACTTCCTCTATATTAAGGCAAATATTGCAACTCTAATGGAGCATAATGAAACAAGGGAAAAAGCAGGTTGGGAAAGTTGTATAGGTAGAACCAAAGTAGGGTTGCTTCACATGTTCTCTAGATATTTTCCCAAGTGATAAAGTGTTGTTATTGACTCTGGTATGTGTTTGTAGACACTTCTGTAGAATGGTTGCTCAATGAAATTGTCATGTTCATAGAATAATGGTTTGGAAAAAAGAAGTCTAACCTGTGCTTAAATACAATTGCATCTACTGGTGAGGGCTCCAATATTTAAATGGCTTGATAGCACACAACTAGAAGAAGATGTGTTTAAGCAGTAAGACTGTTCTGAAAATCAGCAGTTTGCTGAACCCAGGCACTGAAAATAGTGGGATTATGTAGTAAAGGAAGGGGGAGTAAGATTTGTCCCAACAACTGATGATCACTTTTGATTCTGACCGCAAATACTGTGCAAAACTAGAAGACAATAATAGAAGTCTATCCATTGGTAGTTTTTGTACCTTAAACCATCCATCTCCTCCATATCATCTAGAGTGATCATGCCATCTCCAAGAAAAATGTACAGGAAACCATCTGGGCCAAACAAAAGCTGTCCTCCTAGGTGTTTTCGATGTAGTTCTGCTACTTCTAAAAACACTCTTGCTGTTCTCATATCAACTTGGTGTGGATTTTTCCTGCGATATAAAAATATGAACACAGTTTTCACAGTTCACTATCATTGTTCTTCTTTCTAAAAATAAACTTGAGTCATTCAAATTATACTTTAAGATGTGGATGTTGTAACTTGGTGGAAGAATGTCAAACAATTATTTCTGAGAAATTTCAATTTTCCAGCATTCACAAAAAATATTTTGCTGCCTATACACAATAAGTAGGAAATAATTATAATTAAAAAATGACAGAATAACTGAAAAAAGTCTTAAAAAGAATAAACCAGTGTACTTACTGGCGTTCCAAAACTACTGTTTGAAATAAAATCAGCAATAGTTTTTCTGCAAGTGCCCAAGTATACACATTGTAAATCTGAGAGTTAGTTTTAGAAATGGGAAATACTAAAATGAAAAGGTTGCTGACAAATACAGAATTTGTGAATTTTAGACTTCTACTGATACCTGGATACTGTGTATTCTACGACCCTAAGGATGTGGTCATGAGGTCCAATAGCCCACCGTTCTTGGTTGGTGGTATAAGACACATACAGCTTTCCATTTTTCTTGTAATTGGGATGGAATGCAAGGCTTAACAGTCCTCTTTCATCTCCTCCCTGCAGTCAAATGAAAAACACAAAGAATTGTGAAGTTAATTATGTTCTTTATTGTGTTTCAGCTGGAACCCAAAAAAAAAAAGTTTCTTTCTTGTGGATAATCTTTGCCCAAACTCTTTTATTTCTTTCCTGACTACTGCACAAAAAGGATTATAAAACATTTCACTTTGGGGAACTCTTTAAGAGTTAGAACAAGACAATTGTCTTATGTAGTTATCTATGCACAAGTCTCTTACGCCACTTTTGTGGAGTGATTTGTGTATGTAATCTTCGGGAAGCCATGAAGACAAGTTTAAGTGCTGTGAAGGATTCTTTGCTGGGTTACTAGGTTGCTTGTAATTCGTAGAAGACAAATAAAAAGGTCTATAATCAGCAGTCACTTCTAATCCAAGTATCCAAAACCTAAAACACAGTGCGGGCTGCCAACTCCCACTGTCTTGGCAATATGTTTAGAAAACAGTTAAATTGCTTGTGTAATATGTAAACCTTTGTTTTACCCTGGAGGCAGCAACATCAGTTGTCACAACTATGGTGGTCTGTTCATCATAGCTAATATACTGTAGGTAATAAGCAGCCTTGGTCTCTGTGCAGAGAAACCATAGTTTTACATGTGGTCCTTCAATGGAAAGGTTTTTGGTTTTTTTTAAAATAAAAATAGAAAAATCTCCAAACAACTTTCTTTTGTTATTATGTTTGCCACAACGATTCGTACAGTTACATGTTAAGCATCAGATCCATGTAATGTACTGTGACAATGCAAATACCCTGTCTACTTAAATAGAAGGCAATTTTCTCTTTGGCTTCTGAAAATGTGTGTAATATTACTATGCCTATAATTGTATTTGTATAAATGAAGAATAAAACTTAGATTAATTTGTTGCTCTTGAGGTAATACAGGGTAGAAAAGCTGAGGCATAGAAATAAACAGAGTACATAATTAACAATTCAAATGCAATTCATATATGTGATTATTCACAAGCTGATAGTTGGTTTGGACTTCAACTCAGGGTTTGCCAGCCTCTCAAAACTAGTGACTCTGGTGTAGATTCAAGTGCTCCAGCTCTGCACCCATAAGGAGACAACATTTTGCAACTCTAACCACACCCATGATAACTAATTATGAAATTTTAAATTAGAAGAGAGAACGAAGCTTTTAAAATGTATTTGCAATTCAGAGTGATGGATGGGCCTGTCTTCCTGTTGAAAGACATCCCACAAAAGGCCTAATTGGGAAAGTGCACAGCTTTAATTTATTTTAATTCAACATGATTGCCATACTTCCTTTTTAATCACAACCACCAAAGAGAAACCTGAGTCAGAAATGGACATGTAAATAGGTCAAGAGATTTCCATACAAAGAGATTTGTACAGTGAAATCTGGATCCTGCTAATTTAGAGGCAGTCGAAATTTGCTAGTTTGTTTTCTAGAAAAATTTAGTTTCAGGGGGTTATCAGAGGGGTTAGTCTTGAAAGTCTAGTTAGAGCTGCCAAATCAGTTGCAGTCATCATGGATGAAGGGACTGGTAATCTAGATCCTTCTCCTTTATGAGCCAAAAATAATTCTGCAGCTGAGTCTGAACTGATTGTAGATACTACTGTATGAGTTTCTAAGCGTTTTGACCAAGTTGCTCTGATAAAGTCTGAAGCAAAGGGAGGCAAATCAGTTGCTTTGGGAACAGTAAGGCATATTTCAAAGATTCCTGATGAATGATTCTATCTGTTGTGCCCAGACAAAGACAGTCCTATTTCTTCTCCTGAGAGATGAGTTCAACTCATTTAAGGGCCCAGGAATGTCAATGAGTCACACTAGTCCTGCCATTCAAGGTGAATTATTGAAAGTAAGAAAAGATCTTTCTGTTACTAAGTTGAAGACTTTATTTAGCACTTGATGTCATGGGAGCAGTCTCAGTGTGAAAGTGAAGTTGTTGAAAGCATAAACAGGTGAAAATTAAATTAAGAGCTTTTAAAGAACTACCCATGAAGCAAGAATTTGATAAATGAATGAAACATGGGACCTGCAAGGTAGTAAATATGGCAAGTTGTATTCATAGGATCAGGCCAGTATTTCCACTAATTGCTGTCTTGCATGATTCTACTAGACTGCAATATATTACTTTCTTTCTTTGTAGAATGTATCTATTGCTTCCTGAAAAGTCGCGTCACTTTCTGTTGTTCAAAGTGAGCCAGACACACTATGTTCTAAAAAGTCTATTTACTTTTGCATTTAATAAAAACTTTGGAAATATCCCTCTGAGATACTGAAATCAGTGCCACATCAAGCCATTAGTTGGCTTATGGTCAACTAGAAATCCAGCTGAGTTTTTCCATACTTACTTTCTCTGGTTTTGGAAAACAATTGTTCATGTGTACTTTCAGCTTTATCGCTAACTAGCAAACCTGTTGTTTCCAATTAAATCACTGCCACAACTTCCATAGCTTTTGAAATTATCTCTATGTTGCCAGAAAGTATATGGTTTTCTGTAGTGTTATGTCTCTTATGTTGTGGGGTAAATTGAGAGATATCCATCAAAATCCCTTACGAGCAGTCATTTTGGTACTGTCAAATGGAATAATTATGTACCAAATTTCAAAATTTCAGATTTTCCCTGTAGAATAATCCTCACTTTTATTTTTTATCAATGGACTTTAGATGTCTACTGTGAAACCAGCATCCCAGGCTTTATAGTCTTGTCTTGTAGATACCATGTGTCAAATATATATCTTTCTGTTGGCAGTTTAATAACTTCTTGACGTCCTTTTCTTTTTAAGTTTCTTCAGACTTCTGAACTGAAGTATATTTTTAATATTTCTTTTTGCATTGTAACTTCTGTTGTAGTATATTTACACTTGTAAAAATCTAAAACAACCACACAACACGATCCACTTTGTATTTTGACTGAGAGGAGTAATTGTTGTACATGAATACTGGATTTTTATAGAAAGGTGCTATCTTCATGTAAGCACTCCTTAGAAGTGGGCTCTACTTTCAATTTCTGTTTGTCCAAATTCACTCTGGTATATCTCTGATATACCATATACAGAGATATTATTATTTTATTAAGGTATTCTACTTTTCCTATAATACAGAAACATATGCTGCAGTTATTTTTAAGACATGCTGCCATTTCATTACATCAATATATGTGTTATTTCCTATAGTAAATATGGAGAAATATGTGGGAATGCCTTAACTAGTATTGTTAATTATTTCATTTAAATCAGATCGTATTGTAAGCATGACCCTTATTTATGTAACCTTAATAGTAATTAATTTTAGTAAGCAAAACCAGACGTGACCATTTATTTCCATTACTCTGTGTGGCTTAATAGTAAACAATATAGGTAGCAGATTCCAAGTTTTCCTTTAAAATTGATTTCACAGGTCACTCATATAAAATAGTGGGATTTATACGTAACAGCTTTTTTATCTGGACAATCCCATTCTCATGTTGGAAATGAGTAGCAACCTTTTCTTAAAAGGGGTTGCGCTTAAAATATGTATATTCAATGGCCATTTGTGACTTAAAATATTAATTCAAATGTATTGTCTTTATATCATTCATTTTCATCTATTATTATAGAGCAAATGCTGCGTAACTTGTTGAGGTAGTATGATCACCCTTAATTTAGTTTATTTCCTACGTAATAAATACCATAACTAATCTGCATTAACATGTGTTTGATCTTAAGGAGTTTTGTGTGTAAAAACCATGGGGGAAGGGGACACGGAACATCTAAACTCTCTTATCAGGCAGTACCATATGAACTCTTCAGAAAGGGATTTCTAATCAGGAGATCCCAAAAGAATCTCTGCTTATTTGAACCTTCCTTTACCAGATCTTACTGTAGGGCTGAGGATCAATGTCAGGTATTTTTATCAGCAGGAAGTGTTCGCTTAATCGACATGTTTTGGAAATTTGGCCCCAGTACAGGATACAACCTTGACTACAGCAGGAGCAGAAACCAGCAAAGGTGTGCTGCAAGGGCACACCTTGCCTTTCAAAGCTGCATTGACTATTTTGAGAAACACAAGGGGAAAGTGCCTCTGACAGGTGAAAGGGGACAACAAATACAGAATGAGAAAACCAGAAATTGATTGGGCTGTAGGTATGGTATAGGAATAGAGCTCCTATAGACCCCTTGGGTGTCGAGAACTCAAGTGCTTTACTATCTGAACATCTGTGGGGCCTGAGGCCTCTAGCAAGGGAAGAATTTGTAACATAAGACATTTACCTTAGGGAAAAATAATTACACTGATGTCATGGCTCAGTACAGTATGCATACTAGACCCTGTCTCCAAAGCATTTCCTTTTTGCTGTTGTGCCACAAAACTTCATTTTTTTTTCTCATTTATAAAGGGCTTTGCAGTTATGCAAGGACTTTTTAAAACATTTTCAATAATTTTTTACTGATTTTAACAAATGCACTATTTTAATACTTCACTTAAAAATAACTTCAGATACAGGAATGCTTTACAATGACATTTGTACAGGAAACATACTTAGAGGGCCATACTCTTACTTGGAATTTAAGCACAAATCTGACTGAAGTTAGAGGCGGTTTTTGTTCAGTTAGGTGCAGGGCAGGATTTGGCTGAAAATCATTGATGGCCAAACCCACGACAAAGTTGTCTGCTCTGATGTTCGCAGTGGTATTTAAATGCTCATTTTTTTACAGGACAACTGAACTCACACTAAAGTAATGACATCCCACCCCTTTAGTGCCCAGTGGGTCCAAAAGTCAGACCTATCAAAAGGCAGTAAGAAGGTGATTCATAAGACCAGATCTGCATGGATTTTGAATGGGGCTTTTGAATGCACTTGGTGAAAAGTCAGAGCATCTATTCACAGGAATTACACACACATATTTATTATGCAGAATAGTTTTCCAGCAAAAGAACTCTGGAGTGGCGATAACTTGAACAGAAATAAAAAAAAATGGTTTGAGATCTAAAGATAACACTGGAACTCAAAACCTAATTCTTTTTTTCTTCTTACTTC